TCAGAGCATAAACTTCTGTCATACTCTCATGTTTATCACTCTCTCATTGTGTTTAAGAGTTGTGCCCTTATGCCTTGTTTGTGAGCCATCAAATGAGCATATTTTTCTTGCCATCTATGCTACAAGTCTAGCATACTGTTTCAACCTACCTTAGGTCTGTTTTGAATGGTCAAGGTCATTTGAGCGTTGCTTAGTATGGTTGTAGTGTAAAGGACCTTGACTAGCTTTGAGTTTTGAGGCCTTTAACATGTTATGCATGTAATGTTTGCATGATATGGCACCATTTAACATGTAATTTCAGTGCATATAGTGTAGTCACACTCCCATATACTTCACTTCTTCATAGCTTTTGAGGGTTGTGTATTATGCCTTGCTTATAGGCCAACATGTGTGCATGTTCTTCTAGCATTTTGAGCTCCGATTTCAGCATGTTTAGGCCATTGTTTTGGCATGATTAAGCTCTGTTTTGAGCTAGTTTGGGTGTTTGAGCATTGTATTGCATGCTTCTAGAGTGATGCTCTTCACTAGCCTTGGTGTTTTTAGCTTTAAACATGTATTACATGCTTTGCTTGCATGGTTTGGTGCCTTTAACATGCCAAGATAAGCATGTGGCATGTGCATTGCATCGTGTTCAACCGGACATTATGTTGAACACAAGGTGGATTGGCCCACTTCATACTCAAAGTGATGAAAGTAAGGCAAACCCTTTTGTCTCCATTGCCTTTGATCACTCATGATAAGGTCGTGGTCTTAGTGTTTTGCTTGTTTTGTCTGTTGTGCATTCATCGAAATTGTGCAAGTTGGATTTTTGGCCATCATGCATTGCGATGCTTGATTGATGGTCTTGGATCCAATGATGCTTCTCCATTGATATTTTGAGGTGATATGGAGTGGCATAGTACGTACATAACCTTGGAAGACCATCCATTTTTCTCTAGTTTGTGCTCTATTGCAGAATGGTGTTGCAGCATACTAGTGGCCGGCAGTGCCTTGTAGATGGCTGGCACTGCTTCACTTTTGGCTGGCAGTGCATACCCCTGGCCGGCAGGTGGCCGGCAGCAAGCTTTCATGGCCGGCAGGCCATTGGTGGATTCCTCAGGGTGGTTTTGGTAAGATGGAGCAGAAACTTCATAAAGACACCCTGCAAACAGAGCCTTTCAAGAGCAATCCGGAAGGCGTTTCGAGGCGGCAATCGAGAGCATGCATTCTTCATTGTTCAAAGCAGAGCTAAGGCAGTCTGATTTAGTGCTTTACTTGTTAGTTAGCATTCGGTGTTGTAAATTAATTAATTTGTTTGATTAGTTAAAGTAATGTAATAATTAGTTGTAGCTAGTTATTCAATTTGTGTTGTGTAATAATTTGTCTAATTAGATTATTAGATTAGTTATTAGCTTAGCGTAGCTAGCTTAGCTCATTTATTCGCACCCTCTTGCGAGAGGGCACAATGTTGTAATAAGGGTGCGTGTGTGTGTGCATGTCTTCCAACCCCTACTTCTTTCTCCCTTTTACTTACCGGTTTCGATGGTTAGTTTAGGGCATATTTCAATTAGCATACCTTATGCTTTGCATGCGTGCATTCATTCATTTGCCTTGCATGCACCGGGCTCGGCGCATCATTCAAACTGCATTGTATTTCAATTCCTATTTGAATACATGTATCAATTGTTGCATTCACATGCCATCTTAGAATAGCCGAGCCTATTTTATTGCATTTTGCATGTGTTGCATTAGACATTTTTTAACATAGCTAGGATCATGCATAATTACTAACTAGCTTTTGTTTTGGCTCGAAGTATACTGTAAGTGTTTACGCTTTAGCATCCTTGCATGTGTGTAAGTGACTGCCATGATAGCATGCTTGTCATGAGGCTATTTGCTTAAGTGATTAACTACATGAATGCCTGTGGATGAAGGCTTTATTGCTTGAATTGGGACAATTCATCAAATATGCATTTTAAGCCCACTTTGCAAAGTGGCAAAATCATGTTTTCAAGCCCACTTGAGGGTGGCAAATCCGCGTTTTAGCCTACTTGAGGGTAACATCTTCAAACCATTTTCCAAAACAAACATGAGATGTTTTGTTCCAAATTGAAGGGTAGCATCTTCAAACCATTTTCCAAAACAAACATGAGATGTTTTGTTTCAAATTGAGCGATTTAGTCTATTCTTGTATACTGTGCGCATCACATAGTAAGTTAGCTAAATAATTCAGAAAAGAACATATGTGTTTTCAAAACAACATATCATGCTTAATAGAGGTTGATCCTTTGATCGGGCGAGCGAGGGTGCTCATTTCAGGACCTTCCCCTCTCGTACCCAAGTTCTTGAGCCGAGGCAACTTTGGTGATGATGGACACGTGGCCTTAGGCACGAGTCAGGATTTCCTAAATTTCTCAAAACAAAATATTTAGGTGGTGACTCTGAAATTTGGCAAAGCAGTCCATGTTTGGCGCTTTTTGATTAAAATCGATTTGTCAGATTTGGACTCTTTGGTAATTTATCAATTTTACATTTCACTTTGTGAGATTAGATTCAGAACCGTGACAGGAGTCTGAACTGTAGTAGCTAGAACCCAATCCGCACCTTCTCTGAAAGGGGGGCGCGCAGAGCGAGTTCAGGCAGTCTACACATGGTGCCAAATTAGCGAATCCTCCATTGCAACAACTGAAATTAGGATAAGACTGATATTTTCTACATCCTTTTTCGATACCAATTGACAGAAGAGGCCCACATCCTAGGAATTTTTCCCCCAAACAAATTGCATCTTTGACTTTAGAAATTGCGCACCCATGAGGTTTGTAGTCTAGATCTTAAAATCCTTCGAGTAGGCCACCCACTTATCGTCCCAAAAGTGGACAAATGATCCATTAGAAATTTGCCACCGAGTTCCTTTATGAAGGATTTCCCTTCCTTCCAATAAGCTCGACCATGCCCAAGAAGCCCGCAGATCTTTTGAAGCATATAGAAAGTCAGTATTGGGATATTAGATGCCTTTCAAGAACTGGGCACAAAAAGAGTTAGGGAATTTCAACAACGTCCACCCTTGCCTAGCTAGAAGTGCTTTGTTGAAACCTGGTAGATCGTGGAAACTTGTACCCCCCTTGGCTTTGGGCATAGTCATCTAACCCCAAGAAGCTCAATGGATTCCTTTGCAATTTCAAATGCGGCATCGTATCACCCACAGTAAATCCCCCTTTCTCTCTCTGTTTGTGCCCTAAATCTTGCATATTTTCTAAAATTCATTGCTCTTTTTTATTTGAGAACTGTGCTTATTAATCTAGTATATCTTTTTTCAACTGATTTAAGATTCAAAATTGTTTTCATTTCTTTTTAGCCTTCTAGGGGACAAAAAAAAAAATTGTGTTAGGAATTGCGGAACCCTAACATGTAAGATTGGTACGGCACAAAAATTAAAAAAGAACAAAAACAAATAATAACACATGATTTACATTATTAACTCTAAAACTAGAATTACGTTCATAGTTGTTGCAATTAGAAAAAGAGACAAGCAATATACGCATAGCAGTTTCCTTCAAGTACATATATAGCTAGGCTATAGGTCACAAGTACAAAAATATCAAAACAGTCTTGCTCCAAAATTCAAATCAGGGGCCACCTTCTTCAAATAGTTACCAAGATCCACACTACCCAATAAAGCTGAGCAGATGAATCGCCCGACTCGCCAAACCCACAAGCCCGGCCTGACCTGACCACTTTTGGGTAGATGCATGACACGTGGCGGGCGGGTGCAGGCCCAGATTATGTGTTTTTGTGGGTTCGGGTTGCGATTGATCCACCATTATACCCACTGAACTCGACCCGCCCGTTACTTTGTCCATTTTTATTTAGGAAAATGTTTTGTTCCCCGAATCTTTCTTCCTCGAATCCCCCGACTGCACAAAACGACATTGTTTTGGATTCTCTTACCGGTAAGATATATTAAAATTCTCTTACCGGTAAGATAATTTTCATTCAATAACCCCCTCGTAAAATGAAACTACTGTTTAAAACGACGTCGTTTTGGATTCGGGGTAAATTCGGGCTTGGAAATTTCGAGCTACATATCATTACTGTTTTATTTATTTATTTATTTTACACCCTCACTACTCAGCCCTAGCCCCTCAGCGCCATTTTCTGATCTCAGACTCCAACCTAACCCATTCTTCTTCGAAGACACACACACACACACACTCTCTCTCTCTCTCTCTTCCCCAAAACCCTACCCATTTATTGACGACGATCGACACAAGCGGCGATCTACACGATCTACAACAAGCAATGATCTACATGAAAGAAGCTCCCGAGAGCGACGATCTAGACGATCTACAGCGAGCGATGACCAAAAGGTGATCGGCGATCAAGTTGGTGAGATATTTTCTACGAGGCCGCTGTTGCTGAAAAAGAAGAAGCTCCCGAGACCTCCGGTGAGCAACACCAATACCAAGCTGAGGTGGGTTTGTCTTAATTCCTAATATTTTGGGTGTTTTTGTGGGTTGAGTAATTGGGATTGAACTTGTTTTGGCTTTTTTGAGTATTGGGTCTTTCTCTCTCTAACTTGTGAAAATTTGAAACTAACTAGAGGTTGAAGGGTGGGTGTATGTAAACAGTTTACTAGCTTAGTGCTAAAAATTTGACCACTGTACCACTGCACTAATTTTTTGAGGCCATGGGTTGATTTTATTTGATAATCTTTTGGTAGTTTATATATGCATTGCACATAGGTGGCGGTTGAGGAAGGAAGTGCACATGTTTTTTTTTTGTTTTGAGGAAGTGCACATCTTGAATTATTTTGAAAATTTGTAAAATTTTAAACAGTCAAACCGATTTGTATCCATCTGCCAATCCACTCAATTCGCATCCGCCGGATTGGCAGAAGGATGCATATTGATTTTCTCCAATCTGCCAATCCGACGGACGGATGACAGATTTGAGGTTCTGTAACCGCAACCGACCCGCGACCACCCTACTACCCAACAAATGGATCATTGAAAGAACAAGTATTTCCTAGTGGGAAAAAGAAATATTGAAGCTACATATATTGAGGATAAAGTTTTGCAGTTTACAGCCAGAGAGAAAAAAAGGAACAGAAAATCCCTACTTGGGAAAATTCCAAGTCTCCTAAAAATTAGACTCTCCACGACAGTAATTGCCACCAACTTCCTCTATATTTCTATACATCTTCATCACATAACTAATCAGTCACGATTCAGATTTCTGGGACCAAAGCTTAGCTGTTCTGTCTCCCAGTACAACTTCGAATTAACTCTTTCATGCCGCGTAATTTACTCCTGAGAAGGAGAAACAACAATTCATATTATTTTTGGAAATGTTTTCAGCGTTGTGGTCATGAAACAGACAGTTATCCTAGAGTTGTCTTCTTACTGAACCTTTGTTAATTTACCTCCAATTTCTGCACTAACTCTCTTGCAGTAGGAGCTGATACAATGATATGGCGTGCACTTGGACTAATGAAGCCTTCCTCGACTGCTTTGTCAATGAAAGACAACAGAGAGTTGTAGTACCCGTCTACATTCAACAGTCCAACCTGCACATATTTATCAAAATTGAACTTCTTAAAATTTCCTATAAGATGAGAAAGGTTAGAAAATTACTCCTTTCTTTTTTCTTTTTTTTTCCTTTTTAAATAATAATTGATAAGAGGGAAATAGGGAAAGCTGCATTAGGCAACGCTGAGATTACCGGTTTATCGTGGATGCCAAGTTGGGCCCAGGCTATGACTTCAAGAAGCTCTTCAAGAGTCCCATAACCACCTTTATGCAACAAAAATAAGAGCACATATTTCTTATTTCAAGTTCTGCTATTAATGCTAGACAAGCATTGTCAAATGGAAATCACTCATAGGAAAATTTACAAGTATTATGCTTCTGAGAGGGTGTCTTAATGCACATTCGGTCGTACGATTATCTTGAGATTCTCACCATATCATGAGATTAAAAGTGGATAGTGTTTTTAAGGGGGAGTGTCAAAGCTAAGAAGATTTGGAGGACAAATACAAACCAGGCAATGCAATAAAGGCATCTGAATTTCTAGACATCTCTGCCTTCCTTTGGTGCATGTCTGCTACTGCCTTCACTTCCCCTACTGTTTCACCAGTTATCTGCAGTAGAGTACAGTACACTACAGTAACAAGTGTCTCCAACAACCCAATACAAATTATAATAGGGACATGAAAATAACCCCACATCAACAACTACTAATTATATATATATATATATAGAGAGAGAGAGAGAGAGATTGTTGAGCTGATGAGGGGCGTTTGGGAGCAGAGAATGATGACTGCTAAGGGAGGTGGGCTCAATTTAGTCGGCAGTTCCTTAGGAGGACAATACTCTGGAATATAAAAGCAAAGCACATGACAAAACACAATTTGACAAGAAAACATTTGCACAAACACATGAACCTTATCACAAAAAGTACCCCAAAAATTTAACGTGTGATCTAAATCTATTCAAGATGTGGATTCTATCGTACCATAATTAAATCCGAACCATATATTTTTTATGAAGATATTTCTGTTCTCGAATTATTTGTGCTGTCTCTTTACTCCTAAAAAAAAATCAGGTGAAAATTGCTTTGAGTGCCAGAGTGTGGCCACACATGTGATGGATATTATAAAGTTCATCAACACCCAAATGAGAAAATTCATCAACCACTTGGAAAAAACTTCCACATAGTACCTTTACGAAGTTCCTAAAGAGACAAGTGTCAAGTACATGTCCGAGACAACAAAGATAAGGTAGAAATTCGAAGTAATAGTAGCTACCACACAAGATGAGAAAGAAAATTGACAAAAAAATGTAGATAATGCGCTCTCTCGCTCTCAACCTCTATTTTTTCATTGTCATTTTCATTTTTAATAAGAATTATGGGCAGTAGCAAACATACCTCTCTAGGCATGAGTGTCTTGGGAATTACTCTGGAGACAAGAAGATGACAAAATAAAAATTAGTCAAAAGACCAAAACCAACTAGGATAACAGCTACCCAACCGTACCTAAAAAATGTCATCTCATTCTTCATTGAGAAATGCCCTACTTTTAGAACTTGGCTAAATGTCAATTTTTTGACATTTTAATTTACGACAATGCTAGGTAACTCAAATTTTTGTGACTCAAATAGTTCAAATCTGTCAAAATGACATCGTTTTGACAAATTTTGAGTGTAAAACGACGTCGTTTTGACATATTTGAGCCATTTGAGCTACAAAAATTTGAGTTACCAAACATTTTCCTTTAACTTATTTGAGTTATATTACTTCTATTTTTTTATATAATTTTTTAGAAAAAAATTAAAAGATTAACTTTTAATTTACTTTTTAAAATAAGTCAAGTATATGATACGGCACTTTATAATATTAATTTTTTTATGTGAAAAAACTAAAATTTGTCAGAAGATACAATTAACCGTATATATAAAAAAAATGAGTGAGAGCACTAATTAATACTATCACTAATGATGTAGCAATGGGTCTCACTTAGTGTTGTTGTGTCTTTTTTTTAAAAAAAAAATAAAAATAAATGCCACATCATTAATAGTTACTTTAAAACACTACTTTTAATGGTTTCTATCGTTGCCCTATATATAAGGTACCGTGTCAAATGGTACCCAAATGTTATCGTCATTGTGACTTATAACTACAAAAATACTACTATTTAGGATAGAGGCACGTGACATGTCCCCCCTCATCTTTTAAAAAATTATGCTTTTGTCTCTTGTAAAAATATTTATTTCAATTTTAACCTTTCAAGTAATGTTGTGAAATTTTTATATCAATATTTTCTTTTACCTTTTCTTAAATATATATATATATATATATATATGTTTAGGCTTCATTTGTCAACTATACATTTTTGTCAAAAAATTACTATAAATTATCATATCACTTTCTTTATTTTTCTACATATCTTTTCATAAAAAATTAAAAAGTTATTAAAATAGTCTATTCCCAAACGAGACCTATATTAAAAGTTTCTTATAAATTTTATATTAGAGAAATGTTATATGTTGCTGATTTTTTATCACCTTTTATCTAAATACTCATAATTAATTTATTTGTTTATAAATAATTATTAATAACAATTAATAATATATTGTCATATGATTATGTGATTCAAACCGAAAAAAAATAAATGATATATAGCAGTCCCTACATATTATTTAGGCACATTTTCTTTTATTTCTTACTTTATCCCTCTTGGTATCTCTTTTTGTGTGTGCGTCTTTATATAATTTAATTGGTTAACTTGAGTTTATATTTACCTATAACTATTGCATCACACTAATTTTCAGTTCTGCCATAAAAAAAATTAAGTTATATTGGATTGTAAATTTTATTAAGATTTAAATTCAGTCGTTCCCTTTCTGAGTTAAAATCCTACTCCATCACGGCTACTGTTACATTGTTTTGTATGAATTTTACGTACGTGTTTTTAAATATTTTCATTTTGTCTTTGTAGTACAGATGAAAAGTTAAGGAAGCTGCTTACCCAAGTACATGGCGACCACCATTGTAGACAGCTTGGGAAACTAAGCCCATTAGACCAATACTTCCTCCACCATAAACAAGATCTATGTTTCTTGAAACCTTCAATGAAAAATCATATCACACTCACCCAATTAGCCATTATATCATTTACTCAAAAATTCATCCATGTCAATAGCACCGAGAGAGAGAGAGAGAGAGAGAGTACTAGCAGATACACCTCACAAATACATTCTTATATGTACGTACATATCTAAGATGAACAAGTACTTGAATTGTCACCTTGTCTAGAGGTGGAATTTTCAGAAAACTAAAAATTTAAGAGATATGAAATTGAATTTCCAAGAATCTAAAACTTTAGACAAGGCTTCAAATGGCATGAACTTCTGGAACAAATTTTGATTCAATAAATAGCAAGCTAAGAAGCTTCATGAGTAAAAAACAGTTTTGAAGAGAAGCTAACCTGCCAGAATTATGTTTATAGAGACGACAAAACAGAGCAAAAACAGAATTATGTTGTACGAAAAGAACATAACATAACAAAACAAAGCAAAAGCAGAGCCGAAAACAGAGGATAAACAGAGAGCAGAGCAGAGCAGTGGTTTGTTAGTTAGTAGCAGGTATGTACGTACCAATTCCGTACCAAGCTCAATAGCAGCGTCCTTATAGCTGCTCTTCTTTCCTGGGCTACTCCCACAGAACACACATACTCTCTTGAATTTTGACTCCTTTATTTCCTTCTCTCTCTCCATCCCTCTCTCTCTCTCTCTCTCTCTCTCTCTACACTTGGGAGCAATATACAAATATTCACTGCCCCAATATGCCCACACCTTTGCCAATTTATTGGGCATGTTGCCCCAATGTATTTATAAGCCCTGATATCATGTCGGTAGTTTCATTGTGATATTTAGTTTTTAAATAACGCTCTATGCATTAACTGCTATATTGATTAATATATTAACGGATGACAATATAATAATATATATTGATACACTAATTAATACATCAATTAATGTGTGTACTATCACCGTTAATTTTTCTTCCAGTATCACATAGCACATCACTATCAGAACAAGAAAAAAATTTAATACAATATTAATATTACGTTATTACTGACACATAATATATAGACGTAATAAAACTCATATGTAACGGTTATAAAAATTTATCTTAAAACAAATAGTTAAATCCGAATAGTTAAATTCACTATTGCATGTGTAATTTTGTTATTACTTAATAAAATAACGAGTTAATGTTGACATATCATCATTATTATATTAAATTTTTACCGATCAACATGACTAAAGATGCACTATACATGGCCATTTATGTTTAGATGTTGAATGTAAAAAAAAAAAAAAAAAAACTGTTTTTAATACAAATCTTCTCCCTTTTCTTTTTCTTTCACAAATTTCTTCTCAAATACAACTTTTAGTCTCCTCAAATGAGTTCCACCAAATAATAAACGACGAATACAAAAGTAGAGAAAATTAAGAGAAAAAAAGAAGAAAAAAAAAGAAAAAGAAAAAGAAAAAGAAGGAACAAATTGCTAAGTTGTATGGTTTAATTGATGTGGAAATTAATTTGATGAGTGATATTAGAGATCCACATATTTGATTCATAAATTTATTCACAATAATGTGACAAGGAAATGAGACTCTCAATAATTGAACTTATCCTGATATATCATTGTAGGTAAAATTGTGAGAGTTTTTTTAAGGGTCTCAAACATTTTCCGTAGTCTGATAGGAAACAAATTAGGATAATTTAAAAATAGTTACAAATATGTGACAAATGTTATATATTTTAATGATTAAAATCATGAACCTTTTTATGAATTTATAATTATTTTAAGATAGTATTACGATTTATAAATTTTTTTAGAAACTACCGAAAATGATAGGATAAGTTGTAAGGAAAGAGTATGGTATACACTTTATAACTAAAGAAGAAAATAATATAATATTATATTTTCTGAGTTATAATTAAAAAAAATCATAAGCAAACAACGCATGAGGTATAACTAAAGATCTCATGAGTCACAACAAAAATAAGGTCATAACTAAAGAAAAAAAATTAATTATAGGGTAAATTACACTGACACCTCAAGAGGTTTGGTCCAATTACATTTTACCCTTTGACGTTCTGGAAATCACATGTCCACCACTGTGGTTAATAGTTTTATTTTACAAACCCTCTGCTTATATAAAAGACAACAACTCCTAGTACGAAACAGATGAAATTACTTTTTTTTTTTTAAAAAAAAAGTAAAGCAAAGGAAAGAAAGAAAAAAAAGAAACAGAGGAGAGGAAGTAAAGTAAAGTAAGAAAAAAGAGAGTGCATAAGTTCATTGCTTTCATTTTGTCTAAATAATTATAATGACGGGGGTTAGTGTAATTTTCCAAACGTCAAGAAATGATATGTATTAAATTTAAACATCAGGGAGTGTAAGTATAATTTATCCTTGATTATAATTAATATATATTGATGTATTAAAACAAAAGTACGTGCGGCGGCTGCAGAGCAACGTGAAATCAATTAATTCGGTGGAGTGCTTCGGGTATATTGCTTTGTGGAGCAGCAACAAATTGATTTTGTGCATCTTTGTTTGGGTGTAATTGATGTGAAAGTGTTAGATTAGTATATTTTTTGATTTTTTATAAAAAAAAATATAAAATATGCGTTGAAGTGATGTAGTAAAAAAATAATATGATTCAAATAAAATGATTATGACCCAAATAAGATAATGTACTAAAATAATACATGTCAAACAAAACCTGAATATGAGAAGATATCATGTGATAATATGAGGAAAAATTACATTATAGGGTGTCTTTTAAAAAAAAGAATTACAAATCAATAATAAATTTTATAAATTATAATAATTAAAATTATAATTTTTTATAATTATTTTGTAAATACTTTTTGAAAATATCATGCCTGATTTCCCCACAATGTTATGTAATATTTTTTATTAGTTACAAATTAAGAGTTTGTTTGGCATGACTTACCATAGTATATTTTTTTTACCTTTTTATCTTTTTCAGATCACATCAGTTCTCTATTTTTTTACATATTTTTTTTTATAAAATGTCAAAAAATATACTTATTTATATCATCTCAAATAACATCTAAACATAATAAATTTACTATTTAAACTAGTCAAAGAAGGTAAATTATTACCGTATTCAACTTACCACTATGCAAATAATAATGTTAAAGATATAAAAAAATTTATCAAATTTTTTTACTAAACATTAGCATAAATATCACATCAATATAAGTATTTAATAAAAAAATTTAAAATTTCTAACATTTTTCTTAGACAAAAACACGTCAGATATGACCCATTAATATCTCACAAAGTTGAGTCATTCTTTATTTTTGAATTTGAAGTTCACCCCTACAAAAAGTCAAATTCGATTAGATGTGATCCCTCACTTTTGAGTAGGTGCTGATAAGGGATGACTACAGTGATTATATATATGTATATATACATATCGATCCTGCTACGTAGCTTGAAAACGGGGAGTTCAAATGGCTCGATTTTTTTTTTTTTTGCAGATGAAGGACGAAGACCAGAAAGAAAGGAGGAGGAGGAAGAGGAAGAGGAAGAGGAGGAGGAGGAAGGAGGGAGGAGGAGGAGGAGGACTGGATGGGGCATAATATTCGGGGGAGGAGAAGGAGGAGGCGGAGGTGGGGCGATGGCGGTAGGAGGCTGCGGTGGGGCTGAGCTGGGCGACGATTGGCGAATCGGCGGCTGGCCGGGGCGACGATCGTCTTCTCTTTCTCTCTCTTCCCCTCTGCCTCTTTCTTTCTCTCCCTCTCCCTCTCCCTCTCCCTCTACTTCTCTCTTTCTCTCCCTCTGCTTCTCTCTGCGTCTTCTCCCTCGAGCCATTCGGGCCAAAATGTTTCGAGCTACGAAACATTTCCCTATATATATATGGGGTCTAATTCTTTTTCTTTTGCAAATATTTTTTTTTTCCTGTTACAATAATTCAAAAATTTTAAAAATTCATGTTGAGTATGTGGAACTCTCACATCCTTTCTCATTAGAAATTTTATTTCCCTTAATACATAGTATAGATTAGTGTTTGATATATAAAATATGTATTAATTTTGTAATACATAGATTTTTTATTTTACAACGTAAATATATTATCTATTTTTCATTTATAGCTCTAGATTATGTTTGAAAATTTGAAAATAATTTCATGTAAGTGACATCACACATATACTAATACTAATTTGAAGACGTTAAAGATTTCATTTACCAAATCTAAAAAAATAAATCTCATTTAAGGGTTGTTTGTGATGACCTAACTAAGTGTACTTTTTATTTTTTTACGAAAAGATATGTAGAAAAGTAGAGAGGTAATGTGATAGAAAAAAGATAAAAAGATAGATTATTTGAAGTATGCCAAACTTGACCTTATTTTCAAACAACAAATATATTGTTTTGAAAATTCAACAACAAATACTATTGCAACATGTGTATTTTTATATTTAAAAAATTTAAAATTATGAGAAATAAAAATTAAAAATTTAATTTCAAACACCTCATAATGTTTTTGTTTATATTATATAATAATTTGAAAATTTAAAAATAAAATTAATAAAAATTAATAAAACACTGAATTAAGAATCACGTGGAATCACTATCTAAAAAAAATAAAAATAAAAATAAAAATGAAAATAAAAAATCACATGAAATATTCCTTAAAAAAGAATCGTAAAAAGATAGTATAATGTGCATGCACGTGTCATAATAATAGTGCACTGCATGAGCATGAACGTGGCGCGTATATGTGCCCACTGCGAGCGGATCCTCTAGAGTTAATTCTCCAGAGTGATCTCCTAAAGTGGTTGATCGAACGGTTCAGAATCAAACTCATCAAAACGACGTCATTTTGGTGAATATTTTGAAAAGTTAGCCCTGAAAAGGAAATCAAATTATTATTGTAATTTGTAAGTAGGACCAACAATTGGAAATCTAATGCGTTTCAAGTCCCAAATCGCAAGACAAAATTAAATCAAAGCTAAATAAATCATCATCAACATGTAAAAGAAGTAGTTTGCAATTCAGAGTAGTGGAATTTATGACAACACATCTAAAACTTGTTGATAAATTACTAACCTCAGAGCATTGGAAGTCACTAGCACCAACTAACTTGACCGAATCGACCAAACCACGCATCGTGTGCTGCGAATCCGCACCAAACTGCACATACTGATTAAGAAACTCATCATCCACAAGCTTCCTTCCATGACTCGATCGATCCACAACCTCAACATCAAAAGCTCCCGATTCGAACACCGGCAACTCTTCATCCTCTCCCCTCCCCATCACCGCCTCCAACCTCTCTCCCCTAATCGACATCCTAATCTTGTCCGGATGCATCCGAACCCTCCCGCCTTTACAAATCGAGCTCCGCAACGTCTCACTGTAGAAGCACCGAAACCAGCCTCCAGTCCGATGATGGGAGAGCGAGGATTTGAGGAGATCGATCCGGCGAGTGAAGTCGTTGCCGAAGTAGGATTCGCAGGATCTGAAGGGGACGTTGGGGTTGAGAGACCATGGGAGGTACGACGGAAGGATTGGCCATGGTTTTGACAAATATAACAAAAATTTTAAATTCCTCCCAATAAGAGTTGGATATGAAATTTCACACTATAAAAGTGGCGTAAGGATCCTCTAGAATTAATCCTCTAGAGTGATCTCCTAAAGTGGATAATCGGACGGTTGATAAAAATACTCACTAAAACGACGTCGTTTTGGTGAGTTTGATTCTGAGCCGTTCGATCAACCACTTTAGGAGATCACTCTAGAGAATTAACTCTAGAGGATCCGCTC